ACAGGGAGGGAAGATTTTTCTCCTCAAATTGATTACAATATTTTTTAGTAGGGGTCCTAGGTGCTCTTACTGCTCTTAACCAGCCAAGAAGATCAAAGATCAGGGTCACAGGTGGAGACTCAGATTTTCTCTAGTGTTTCTGAGATTCTGGTTTTGTGAATGGGCAGAATTCTGAGAAAAAGAATGTTGTGTTATCCCTCGTGACCACAGAGGACATTGTAGATGTGGAAGATCATCTCTGTAAAATGGGTACCAGTCCCTTGAAGTGAGTGGTACTGGGCCATGGAAATGAGGAGATATTCTAGGTTGACAAAGTGATTGACAGCCCAGAAAAGTTCACTGGGGTGTGACTTACTGGTTACTATAGCAGAGAAGGAGGATCTCATGGTATCTTCATGGCCAAGGAGCAGGTGTGGAAGAATTCTTTGTGCAGATGTGTATTTCTTCTTGGGTTTTCCCAACACTGGCACTTGGATTTTCTTCTCTCCTGCTTCATCTGTCACAGGTAGGAGAAACCACAGAGCTCTGCAAGGGCCATACAGAGGAGGAGTTTGCACTGTTTTGCAGTGGTCAGTCTGTGACTGTGGTGTCTCATTGAGTCGTCTTATCCTTGGCTGCTTGGTTATGGTACCTGTGTTTTGTGACTATGAGCTGTCTGGGCACATCATGAAGTTAAACTCTGTGTCAGGGAGTCAGGACCTGCTCCCCAGCTCAAGTCACGGTTCTCGGCGTTCCAGGCTTCCCGTTGCCTGAAGCTGAGCCCCAGCTGGAGCCAGGGTTCCCAGGGCTTCCAGTTGCTGAGCCCCAAGATCCACCAGTTCAATGGTTTGACTTTCTTTAAAACTTCAGCACAAAGACATACTGCTTGACTATTTTTATTTAAATTAAATTATTTAAGTAGATTATGGTAGGTTACAGTTTTAGCGTAGGATGTCAGAATTTGAAATTTACTTTTACATTTGTTTATTTTTAAAAAGAAACATATTTGATTTCAATAAAAATGCCAATTTAAATCAAATAAAGTAAAAAACAACAACAACCAAACAAGGGGGAGGGTATTTAAAAATATTTTTTCTCCATCCTGCTTACTGTCAATATCAGGTTTGAGGCATGAGCCGAAGCAAAATATGACAACAGGCTTATTTCTGCAGGTCTGACTTGTTTACATTACCACTTTCAAGTAAACACTAAATATAAAGATTTATGTTTGTGTGAAAGGGATTTTTTTAGTTCACAATATAAAGAAATTTGCATGAAGGTGTCTTGTTTCAGCAACTCTTTGACTGGAAGCCAAACACTCTGGCTATCAAGCTATGAAATTTGGCCCTTTTACAGAAACTCTTTAACAGTTTTTTAAGCACAACTTACCTGTGAGCAGACACCGTGCTTCTTGCTGTTCAGCACCAAAATACAGTATTGATTTGGTCAAGAGAAGTTCTGGGTGCTTATCTGTCAGTCATGGTCATGGCCCATCACTTTGATACTGCAAGTGATGCTCGGCAGCCCCCATCATGCCCGAGCAGCTCTCCTATTTGGGATTCAGTGTCTCAACCAAAAGTTGCTCCAATGAGCTCCTCTTGTCATCAAATCAGCCATTGACAACTTATTGTTTCCTTTGGGGTCACTGATCCTCAGGTAGTGGCAGAATAAATTCCACATATAGTTTAGGGTAGTTGTATTATTATTTATTATTAGTGTATTGCAGTAGTGCCAAAATTCCCCCACTGAGTTCAGGGTCTCAGGGTGTGTTGTGTTAGGCACTAGATATGCTGTTATGGCAGGTGCCACTAGTTGTCCAAGTTCTTTTTATTAAGAACATAAGCAGGTTTTTAGGCTTGGGGAGACATGCTGTGTTAATGTTTTGGGTTATGCAAGGTTTTGTGTAGAGGTAGCTTTGGGAGAGAGGCAGCTGTGCAAGAGCTCTCTGCCTCTGGCTCCGATTACAGTCCATTCTTGAGTCAGAGTTTCTCCTTGGGAAGTGCTGGGCTGAGATCTCTGAAAGAGAGGCCTGCCTTGTGTGCCATATGACCATGTCATTCCAGAACTGCTGTATATGTGTAAATGGAGCAAGTTATACTTAGAATTCACCCAGATTTTATGTCTCTAATTTCTCCTCCAACCTGCAAGGCCCCAAACGCCTGCTACTGATTGGCTCATGGTAACACTAGTGTGAGAATGGGACATTGGTATAAGAGGCAAGAACAAAAATACACACAGACAGTCATTACCCTGAAGACATTACAGTCTAAATAGATCTGACATACGAAGAGTGGAGGGGAAAGAATAATGATTGTTCCTATTTTTCAGAGGGAAAATTGAGACCCATAAAATGACTTGTCTAAAGTCACCCAGGGAATCTGTGGTAGAGCAGGAACAGAACACAGATCTCTTGCATGCTACTCTAGGGCTTTAACCACAAGACCTGCCTTTCGCTTACAGAGCTCCACTCATTCTCCTGTGCTTCCTAGTTTCAGAATGTGCTCTTTTCACAGAGATGGCCTCTGTTTTATATGGTTAAGGTTTTTAAAGTAGAGCTACTTATCAATCTGAGTTTATTCATCTGAGCCAGTACTATTGATGAATTTTCTGACCATGATACACATTGTGATTTGCTATCGTGTGTCAGAAAAATTCAGAAAGCTCTGATTACCAACCACACAAGACTGAAACAAACCTATGAAGACTACAAAGAGCTGTGGGGAAAAAAAACTAAATCCAGACAGGGCTGTCCAGAGGTGGAGGATAATCATTTCCCAGACACTTTAGAAATGTCAGGTAGAATTTCCAGGATTTTTGAGGTTTCAGAGGGGTAACCGTGTTAGTCTGTATCAGCAAAAACAATGAGGGGTCCTGTAGCACCTTAAAGACTAACAAATTTATTTGGGCATAAGCTTTTGTGGGCTATAACCCACTTCGTCAGATGCAGGATTTTTGAAGTTTCTCATACATTTCAAAGGCAAAATTCTATTCACTTAGAATAAGAAGAGCATTCATCTGGAATTCTGCACTAGTGTATCAAAACATGTATTGTTATGGGAGATGTGCACCAAAACCACATGACCTCAAATATATATGATTGTTTGCCAATAGCTGTACACACCCTGGTACTCTAAAACCCAGCATCAACTTCAGTTGATTAGGGAAATGGATCAAGGGATAGTAGCATCTCCATGATTAAGTATGCATGAAGATTTACAGTTAAATCAGGACTCTTTAGTTTACATTGACTGTTTTGTTATACACAAAAATCAAAGTTATTCCTGCCTCTGATCTCAGAAACGATGGACTCACATGTCCTCTATCATTCCCAATGATTCCTCTGAAATCCTTGTTATCATAGAGACTCATACTGCCTTATACAGGATGATGTTGAAAATTTCACGATTTTTAAGCCAGATTTCCATACCCAGATGCGGCCTTCAGGTCAAAAAGTTTGCCCACCTCCACTGTAGACAAACTAGACTCTGAACTGTAGCAAGAGTCCAGGGGCAGGCGAGAGGTCAAGGGTGGGTGGTCAGAGTCCAGGAACAAGCCAAGTCAGTATCAAAGCCAGTGTCCACATAGAGGCTGAAGGTCAAAGGCGAGTAGTCAGAGGGTCTGGGGAGGATCAGGAAGCAGATGCAAGGCGTCTCCAGAATCTGATGCACTGCAAGGCAGCAGGAGGGCTTCTGGCCAGGTGTTGCTGTTGCACAGACTGATCTGCAGCTCTAGTGGGGTTGATGGAAATACCTGAGCCTGGGGGTCACCTCACCCAGGCTCTGTTTGGGGATTGGTTGTTGTTGCATGTCTGAGGACTGATCAGTGCAGGCACTGTTAGAAGAGCAGTCCTGCTTTGGCTGAGAGTTTGGCTCACAAATGGTCTATCTAGCCCAGCATCCTATCTTTCGACAGTGGCCAATGCCAGGTGCTTTAAATGGCTGCATTTTGCTTGTGCCAGGCATGCAGAGGAACAGGATTTCACCTGTTCTGAGCCTGGCCCAGCTGCCTGGGAAGGGGCTCCCCCTACAGCCTCCCTGTAGTTATGGGCCTACTCTGATTGAGTCATACCATAGAATATCAGGGTTGGAAGGACCCTCAGGAGGTCATCTAGTCTAACCCCATGCTCAAAGCAGGACCAATCCCCAGACAGATTTTTGCCCTTGACCCCTAAATGGCCTCCTCAAGGATTGAACTCACAACCCTGGGTTTAGCAGGCCAATGCTCAAACCACTGAGCTATCCCTCCCCCTCATCCTGCAGTTGATATGTGCAAAGTCCAGCCTGACTGGTTGAGAGATGAGTGGGCAGGACTTAAGGGACCTTGTACTCATCCTGAATTCTTATTGATCAGTAGAAGGGGTTCGGGGAGCTGCATAAGGAGGAACCTTACTGCAAATTTTATTCCTCATTGGTCAATGGCAGAGTTTTGGGGATTGACAAGTCTGGGCCATTCTCAATGTTGACTGGTTTTCTCTGAAGGGGAAGCAGTGGGGTTACGCACGAAGACCCACCCAACACTGATTACTCATTGGCTAAGGGGTGGGGCCTGGAACAGGGCCTAGGGTAGAATTTTTGGCTCATTCTCAATGCTAATTGGTCAGGGAGAGTGGCTGGTGCATAGACCACCTGTCAGATCAGATGTGACGAGTCCTGTTCACTCCATGATCCCCCATTTCTCTCTCCTGCAGATTGCAGGGTTGTCATCTCACAGACGCTGGCTGCGCGGATCTCGCCGCTGTTCTCAGAACCAACCAGAGCCTGACAAAGCTGGAGCTGAGTGATAATGAACTGGGAGATGCCGGCGTGCAGCTGCTATGTGAGGGACTGAAACAAAACTGCAAATTACAGAGTTTGTCGTAAGTAATATTTGGGTTCCTCTGTGAGTTTACAGATGTCCTTTATGTAAACAGCTCAACAGGATGCATGGCTGGTGACTGCTCCTGGCAGCTACAGGGAGAAGCTGAGATTTCAGGGTCTCCAGCATGTGTCAGTGGCTCACAACATGCACTGGCATGTTTGGAAGATGGAAACTAAGTAAAGCTGAGCCCGCACCTGACAATTACCTCCAAGTCGAGGGCCCACGGGGACAAAGACTGCAGTTCATTGCAGATTCTCAGGGTTTAACGTGTGACTATGGGTTTTGGATTTTTGCCTCCAGACTCTGCCTCTGTGGAGGAGCATGTTCTAGCTATAGGAAAGTCACTAGGTTTAAAAACATGAGGTATTGCCTCCCACATGAGCAAGGCTGTTGTGATTGTTGCCACACATAGCCTCCTTGAGCAGGTGTTTGTGGAGGGGATTAGGGTGTTTTTGTCCCTGTTGTGCCCCTCTCAACACCTGCTGTTAAAGTGGCTGTTTCTAATGTCCCTCCATTTTTAGGAATGAGCAGCTGAGCAAAGGTCTGGTAAGATCTCTAGCCCTATTAGGAAGATTCCTTTGGATTGTAAAGCCCAGAGGTTCATCCTGTCTTATCCTTTTGTAGGCAGCTCTATATGATATTAAATAGTGCTTCCAAAGTATTTAAAGTGTCTCTGAAGTATAGGATTGGGGAGTGTGACAACACTGTGTTTGTTGCCACTGAAGAGATGGCCTATTATTGTTCTGGGAGTCTGACACATTTGGTTTATCAGTGTGCCAAGAAGAGGCAGGCTGCCCCTGGTGACCCCATGCCTGGCAATATGGGCAGTTCTGAGGGTAAAGCACAGAGTGGGGTGGCTGTGGCAGGGACTGAGTGCCACCAGGCTTCAGATATCTCTGGGGATGTTGGTTCTGGGGGGTAGTACCCCCTTTACACCTGGACGGAGATGGTATTACTGGTTTTGTGGTTCCTGATTCAGTGGTCTCTCAGCCTGAGCCTGTCTGAGAAATGGAGGCTGAGCCTGTCACTGTGATTTCCACGGCTTTGGCTGTGGATTCGGGCTTGCTGGCAAAACTCCAGAATAAAAAACAGCCAGTGATGGCCCCAATGGATTAACTGAGTCAGTGCAGTCGGGGAGCACATGGTGGCTGCGGGTGCTGCTGAGAGTCATTCTTTGGTTGGAGGCATGGGGAATTCTCAGGTATTAGTTTTGCCCCTCAGTCCCAGCAGCCCCCTCCCTCCGGTCTCTCTGAGGTCCCCCCCACACTCCGAGGTCAGTAGTGACTCTGAATCTGAGTGTGTGGGATGACAAACTCATGGATTCTTTGGGTCCTGAACTCCATGACAGGGAGGGTTGGGGAATACAGCCTGGATGCTACTAGTAGGTTTCTGGATGAGGCTAAGGGGAAACGTGGTGTAAAAGTGGCAGATTGGTTTCCTGATCTTAATCTATTTTTATTGTCTGCTCAATGTACTATGAGATGTGTATCAGTGTCTGAGTTTTTCAGACAAAATTGGTATAGAATGAATAAAGTGGTCACCAAATCACGTGTCTCTTTCACCAATGGAAACGTTGGGAATTAATGAATATAGTGGTGATTTTTTTTCTTATTTTTTCTGATGAGTACTGATCTGAGGATTACTTTTGTATCTGTCTCTCTGAATGTGAGTGCGCACAAGGATGTTAACAAATATAGGGCTCTTTTTGAGCTCCTGTCCCGGAAAAAAGTAGACATTTCATTTTTGCAAGAAACGCACACAGATGCAGGCAACCAGATTGATCGGCTTGCAGAGGGGAGGTTTTCTGAGTTGTGATTCCACTGCAAGTGCAGGGGTTGCCATTCTCTTTGCGGACAGGGTAAAGTTTGATTCAGTGATCTTTCTCTGACACACACACACACGGGAAGGGGAAGTGCAGGGGGACCTATCTCTCATTCACCACCTCCTATAGCACTGAGTATCAGTTACTCTGTAAACAGTTGTCCCTGAAGACTTGATTTTGCTCCATCTTGAAAACAGTAAAAGTTTTGCCACTGAATTGGCCCAACTGCCTTTCTGTCATGACAGGGAGCTCACTCAAATTTCAGTGAGTGACAGTGTGACCCCGTGCACCAGGTTACAACACCTAGATCAGAGAGCTAGCCAGCCCTGCAGGACTGAAGGAGCAGGAGCCACTGCTGCGGGGTGAGTGCATGGTGGGCTGTACACCCCCCAGCGCCTCTCATCCCCCCACCCCCAGGGCCAGGACATGATTCACCCCCCCCACCCCATCCCCGGTCAGGGTCTCCCATGCAATCCTTTGACACATTCTGGCAGGTTGCAGTGCTCGGAACATAGGATTTATACAACAAATACTTAAAGTGAGGAGTTACTGTACAGCACTTAAGTCGTCCCGGTTAACGTTGTTTCATTGTTACGTTGTGATCAATTAGAGAACATGCTCATTTAAAGTTGTGCAATGCTCCATTCTAATGTTGTTTGGCAGCCACCTGCTTTGTCTACTGCTTGCAGGAAGAGAAGCCTATTGCAGCTAGCTGGTGGGGGGCTTGGAACCAGGGTGGACCGGCAGCTCCCCCTATCAGCTCCCCCGCTCCCCTAAGTTCCCTGTGCTGCTGCCACCCAGCAGGCTAACCAACCAAGCTTCACAATCATTGTTTGTTTAAAACTTATACTCTGTGTGTGTGTGTGTGTGTGTGTGTGTGTGTAGTATATATATATATATATATATATATATACTTTTGTCTGGTGAAAAAAATTTTTTTCCCTGGAACCTAACCCTGTCATTTACATTAATTCTTATGGGGTAATTGGATTCGCTTAACATCGTTTCACTTAGTCATATTTTTCAGGAACATAACTACAACGTTAAGTGAGGAGTTACTGTATTTTAATATTTGCTGCATTTAGTACATATCATGTTAATGTGGATAGTCTATATCATGGGTTAGAAATATATACTAAGCCAGACATTTTTGTATTAAAGTTATTTACTGGGTTGTGACAGGCCATCAAGGTTTACAAATGGGTCCTGAGACCAAAAAGGTTGAAACCCACTCTTTTAGCTCAGCCAAGCTCCCATGGCTTCTAGACTCCTGGTTCCCCGTCAGCTCTAGTGGACTGATGGTGAGTCAGGAATCTAGAAGCCTTGGCAAACCTAGAAGCCCTGGCAACAGTGACTGAGCCAGGAGCCTTAGCGGTAGGGAGCCGGGGCTTCCGGAGTTTCCAACTCTGCAGCGGGGAGCCAGAAGCTGATCCCTATCTCGAGCTGGTGTTCTCAGGGCTTGCAGGTGCTCAGCTGGTGACTTCCACCAGCTTATCAGCAAACACAGACTTCTTGTATCTCATTTTTATTTAATTTAAATTATTTATGTACAGATTATAACAAGTTTATGCTTTAACACAGGATGTTATAATTCTAATTTAAATGTTTATTTTTAAAAGCAAAATATATTTAATTTAATTTAAATTGGATTATTTAATCTGATTTAAGTAAAAAAGTCAGACAATGTCTGTGATTATTTTATTAAAAGAAACATTAATTTTTCTCCACCCTGCTTACTGTCAATATCAGGTTTGAGGCATGAGCCAAGGCAGAGCATGACCGTAGGCATATTTCTGCAGGAATTGCTTGTTTATGTGACCACTTTCAAGTAAAGACTAAAAATAAAGAATTAAGTTTGTGTGACAGGGATTTTCTTTATTTACAGTAGAAAAAAGTGTGCATGAGGAGGTCTTCTTTCATCAAATCTTTGATTGGAAGCCAAACACTCTGGCCATTGAGCTACCAAATTTAGCCCTTTTACAGAAACTCTTCCACAATTTACCCATTGTAGTGGGGTGGCTGCCCCACTCCCTGAATTTGGACTGCAGCAGGCCAGTGGGCCTGTGCAGACAGGGAGCCAATCAGGGAAGGCCTTATAGGGAGCCAATCAGTGCCCAGATTAGAGGGAGTCAATCAGGGCTAGGCTCAGCCCTATAAGAAGGCTGCTCAGGAAAGGAGCAGGCAGTCTGTCCCAGGTCTTTGACAGGGAAAGGTCTCGTCTCCAGGCTGGGAGACTAGTACCTGGGACAGCACAGTGTTGGGCAGGCCCAGGGGAGCAGAAGGTAACTCCAGTCCAGAGTCTATCAGGCTGCAGGCCCTGAAGGGAAGGGCCTAGCCGGTGCTAGGGGCCGAAGGGGAAGCGGACCAGGGACATGGACAGACGGAGGGCAGGACGGCTGCCACTAGAGGGTCCCTGTGTTGGGACCCAGAGTAGTGGGCGGGCCTGGGTCCCCCCTATTCCCCTTTGCCTTGCACCCGGCCGACTGAGCAGCCATCTAGAGCTGCACCAATGCCCTCCCAAGAGGGGAGTGACTTTGAGGGTGCAGTTGGCCACATCGGCCAGGATGCAGAGAGGCAGCTGATTGATTCCCCTCCCCCCCGGGGGGGGCAAGGATGGACTAAGGGGCACTGCCGGAGGACGTGGCTCGAAGAGGATGCTGTGAGCTTGGGAGCAACGTGGGTCCAGACACGCCAACCGAGGGTGAGATGACAGATGGGACACCACTAGGAGGGGGCGCACCACTGGACAGAGCTAATTCCTGAAACAACCAGTAGGATGCGCCAGGTGGTGCGTCCCAACCCCGTCACACCATGAACAGGTTCTGCGCATCTCACTGTTGAGCCGCAAATACAGTATTGATTTGATAAACAGATGTTCCAGGCGTTTGTTCCTTAGTCATGGTTCGTAACCCACGAGTTTGATAGTCCA